CCTATACATGGTGGCCTCGTCAAACTTGCGGTTCCTACTCTCGATCACTTTCCCTAGATGAGTTCTTGACCTTATCGGAAAGCAGTGCACTTTAAACATACCAATAAAGCGGTTCTTAGACCCTCAGTTCCATATATTGCCAAAATTCCGATATTATTATAAATTTGAGACATGGCGCACGTATCAACACATTTTTTAACGAATTTTGAAAATTCAACTGAAAATTTGACTTTAACATCAAAAAATACCTTTTCACAAAATTTGATCGGACAGGAGCCGAGACAGCATTTCCGGCCACATCCTTCATTTTGAATTTTCGAATTTTGAAAATTTGAAAAAGTTGCCCCTAAAAACATTTCCACCCGGTACTAAGTTTCACAGATATCGATTGGGCAGGAGCCGAAAATAGTACGATCAGCAGGACTCTACACAATGGTGGACGATACCGGTTAATTTATGTACGGCCGTGCGCCTTCATTTTCGTCTGATACTGTGCAATACTTCTGTGTTAGAATAGTTGCTCAGAGCGCCTTTAACGAGATCCCTTCGACTTGATGGCGGAAGATGACGATTTTAGCGCGTCCGCAGTTACACATTTTCTCATCACCGACGGTGAGGTAAAAAAACCATCATATCTCAATATGCGACGTTGCAAGTTTTCCACTGCCAATTTTACAAGTGTAAACCCGATTTGAACACTATATTGTCTGTCAAGATTTTTCCGAGCTAAGATGAGAAACATTAACGTAAACTTTCATTCAAGTCCATTTGTATGATTTCTTGAAAAAGGTAAAAACAAGTATAAAAAGGAATCTTCGAGTGACCAAAAGCAGATCCAAAATTTACAGCCCTCGAAGTAAACGGGCCCGAGGAGCAGAGGCAGACCTAGCAATTCGGCAACATTGGATTTCCTCAATTTAAGCCTATGTTAAATAATCGATTCTTGTCGGAGCACTTGGCCCCTCCAAGAGTCAATACATTTTCATAGGTTTAAATGGAGAAAAGGCAGAGTATCTAATTTGCTGGATCCGCCAATCAGTTGAAAAACACGAAAGCAAACTATGACGGACATTTATTAGTGTTATTATGAGCTTGCTTTTGGACTTTTTCGACCATGATGTGGATCGCATTTAACAAAAGCAATCAGCGAGTTGGCAGTATTTTCAAAATCGTGCAACTTCTTCTTTTCTTTTAAAAATATTTAATATGTGTACAATATAAAAATACACACGATTATTTTCCTTTAAAATGTGCAGGATTATTTTCTTTTACAATTAACACGATTATTTTCCTTTAAAATTAATGATTCTTTTGGTGGGAAGCCAGATTTATTTGCTATTCTGGGAGATTTTTTAGATGATTATGAAGAAGCATCATTTTTACAACACTATAATCGCGCTGGTTCCTTTTTGCTAAATGCGATCCGTGTACAGTTATGAACATTGAACGGATGAACTTATGAACCTAACTCAATAAAAATAGCTCCTCTAAGAATTTTACCGCTAAGGACTAGGATCCTTTTCCTTATGGACGGTCGCGTTTAAGTTTCATTTCGTGTACCTTTTCGAGGGACCTTTGTCACAAAAGCGTTACGAAGGAAAAGGGGGAGGGAGTCAAAAATTCCGGAAAAAAGCAATGCATGCGCTGCACTTGCTTAGTCTCGGCTTAACGCGCCCAAAGTGCGAACTGTGAAATATGAAAGGTGTGCTTAAGCCGGTTGGGATATTCCAGAAACGGATTAGAACATGTCATAAGGAAGAAGCGAAGATGGAATTAGAATCGTCACAGAATGGCCTTAATCGATAAATTCTTATCTTGGCAATAATAGCAATCGGTCAAGGTGGCAGAGAAGAGGCATCATAACTGTCTTTTGAACGAGGCGCAATATAAAAAGGCAACCATTCATGACTGTTCAACCTGAATTGCTTTAGTGTAATGTATGAGTCTTAATCACTCCCCTGTCATTGATGACGGTATATTTATATCACACGTATTTAGAGCACTACTTCTGAGTATATAATGTACCACTAGACAAGGTACGAATTTAAGCATTCTGATACATGTTTCCTAGTCAAAATTTCACGTAGAGCACGATTCGAAAAACGAAAATTACTTAAACCAACTCCTAACGAAGATATTAACGTTTTCATTTCACATTGGTTACGAGGAATTCGAACTGCCCGCTCATAAGAAACTCAAAGCTCTACGTGAGTCAAATCGCGCACTACAACGGTTTCAGCAAGCTTCTCAGTCGAGCAATGTTCATTTCCTACCAAGTTTTGTTCAAACTATAAGCAATTTGCTACAGCTGAGCCAAAGCGTCAAGATTGAGATTGCCAGATTTGTATATCGTAGAGACTGTCATGATAACGTTTAGCGCGTTTTGTGAATCACGTAGGGCATTGAGTTTTCATGAGCGGGTGATTTGAATTCACGCATCAAGAATCATTTAATATCTTCGTAAGGAGTTAATTTCGGCAATTTTCGTTATGTGCATCGTGTCTAACGTGAGATTTTGGTTAAGAAACGTGTATCAGAATGCTGGAATTCGTACCTTATCCAGGAGTCCGTCAAGGCATTTATCGGTAAAGGGGCATGCTGGTTCGACTTGCACGCGTTTTCCAATTTTATATCATATCGTCGCTTCGCTGACAAAAAGACATGATTACAAATTTGAGATGAGCCCGATCTCGAAAAAGCATTGAGTTGTATGGTCGACGACGGGGTTTATCGCAAAGTGTAGTTACGCTTTAAATCAGGAGGGCGACGCAATGTGAATCGAGTCAATTGGAAATGTCGGACAAAATTTGGAACCTTTAAACGCTTATAACTCCGTTTATACAAAACTTTGACGTTCTAAAAGTGGTTTCCTCTTGATATTTTCTTCTTAAAGTACCCCTTGAAATTCCAAAATATTTGAGATTGACTGAACCGTATTTTGCAACAAGGGACCACAACATCTGGCTCAGTTTAGAAACAACGCATGCACCGGTAGTTTCCTTATGTACATAAGTGTTTTTTACGGATGAGGCAGAAATTGTAGTTCCTCGTTGCAAATTAATGTAGTCCAACTGATAGTGATACCAACTCAAAGCTTTTGAGAGAATCTCAATTAGAAAGAAACGTGATGAGAAATGAAGTGATTGGAGGACAAGGAGCATAAGTGCAGTTTTTGCGATTTCGAGAAATACGTGTTTGAAGTTTCAAAATTGCATGGATCCTTGTGGCGGGAAAATATTCCAACGGAATTTTTGATGCTTGAAAACTGAAAATTTGGAGCTAATTTTTCACAGAATATTCATTGAGACTATAGTTTCACTTAAAATCATTTATACCTCCATTTTTCAAAAACTGCACTTATGCGCTTTGTCCTCCAAGCCTCTAAAATAATAAAGGTTGTTCAGCACTGATGCAGTTGGTAGAATTGGTGACTCAAAGAACGCATTTCCGGATAGCTCTCTCTCAAATGGACGTATTCATTCTGCAGTTAGGAACTATAATTTCTGGCTCGATATAGAAACATCATATGTGTCATAAGTTTCCGTTTGCAGGTAGATGCTTTCATGTACGGGCCTAAAATTGTAGTTCCTAAATGCAAAATGAAGCCCAATCTTGTTTTACATGTAAAATCACCGTCACCCATGAATAACCATCCATCTTTTAGTCGAATTTTTGTCACCTCCTATATTTTTCCACCTGCTAGCCGCACCAAATCAACGATATTATGTAATTATCATCACCTCTGAAAGCTTAAAGGAACTAACTTAGTTACCGCCTCCTTTCGTATCAAACTGTTCGGCACATCACGATAGTAACGAGGCTGACAGAGAAAAACCACAGAACGCCGGGTATAGGTACCTATTCATCAATCGCACCTTTGGGAGCGTAGTGACCTATTAGGGTATCCGAGCACTACTCCTACTGTGCTAATATCAGTCTAAGAGAGTGCCTTCAAAAAATGTTCAGCAAAAAGCCGAACTCCTGATGAATGCGTGATGCGTTTCATAAGGTCACAAGTGAACTGCATCCTCACGAGTTATTGCCAGAACTATGATCCGGTAGAGAGGCCGAATGCACTTAGTTTATCCAGGTGAAGAAAAATCCAAACAAATGAAGCTATGGTACTACAATTTTGAAACTTTGCAAGAAATTGGATGATAAAATTGTAATATCGAGGTAACGTTCCAGCCCCCTTTTTTAGAGGTGTCGTTCAAAAAGAGACCAAGTTTTGACAACTGTAGCACGGCCGGAGAACCGAAAGATACGCGGCTGTCTCATATAAAATTCGGGAATGAACCTTAAGGATGTCGTCCTAAAGCTATATATGGAGGCTGAGTCCGTAATAAGTCGGTTATACGCGCCGTATACGAAAACACCGGTACCTTCGGATAGATCCGCCGTGAAGGAACGCTGAAAATCGACTGTCTTCACTCGTTACTTAGAATTAATTGCGATATCCAATCAACTGATTGATTCTGAACTAGTCATTAGTCAACTCGACACGGCAGATCGCAACTGTACAGATGCGGCCGGTCCATCATTTGGAAAAGAGGCCTTACAGTATTGAATTGATGGAAGTATCCCTCAACAATGAAGGGGTATTTTAAATATTCAATCGGCCGACCTCTTTTCATTAATTCGATCATATTCGGCACCACTGACACTGCATTTTTTTAGGATTTTGTATCACATCCTCTGGCGATGTAAGTATTTAGCGATCAAATTTAAAAGGTCGTCCTTCCATAAGCGTGATGTCATGTTTAAGGAGGCATTATTACTTACGTCACGAAGGTTGCATTAATTTATTATGTATAGTCGAATTTGAAATAGGTAACACTCAACAGGGGCAGTAGCGCGCATACAGGTACTATTTCACTCACTGAATCCAATTTAGGTAATATATATTTATTTTATATTACTAATAAAGGCATAGTCAAAAACAAACTTGATCCTTGGAGCTGGGAGAAACACATTTGGAGTATTGAAAGTTGTCGACTCACCAGTTTATGAACGTAGAAGCACAATTCACAGTCGGTCCGAATAAGTATCCTCCAGTTTCAGCTAAACCAAACCACACAACAAACAACTTAAAAGTTACGAATTAAAACTAAATCGAAAGGGTAATCACTTTATGAGAAACATATCACGGCGTTCATTCCAGTCGCGGCCCGGGCAACATCGTCGTTTATTTTATTTTTTTCCCGAAACAAAAAAATAAACAACCACAAACGTACTAAAAAAAATAAAAAAATAAACGGACGCAACTTGCCGTTGCCTAACTATTAATGCGGGGCACCATTAAGATGCGCACGGGTCTTAAATAAGTTTACCCTGCCGCGCTCTGGCGGTGAAAATACTAACTAAATTTTTAAATCTTGGGTTACGAGGGACTTGCCAACATTTTTCTTCTAGCCCGGTGTGCCAGCTTCTCTATCCGTTAAAAATAACACTAAACTCAAACGCACGCATCCTTGAGCCCAGACAGACTCAGGGAAGAGAGACAAATGAATTTTTTTCATGTTGAAATTCGGTGGCGGAAAAGAGAAGAGCAAGATCCTAGACAGAGAGTCTGCTGCAGCAGTCCACTTCCCCCTTCATATTGTTTTAGTTTGTTTATATTTATTTGTTATTTAATTCCTCCCGCATGTTAAATCTCTTATCAAATTAATTCAATTCGCAGAGCTTCACTCCGCACGTCGCGTTCCTCAATCAATTTTTCAGTTTTAATGTGCGAAAGCGAGTGATTTTAAAAGCTTCAATTTTTTATAGGAAAAATAAGTGTAATTACATTCGTTCACCATTTAACATCCTTAAGGTGATTATACGGTTGCCATTTTTTGTGTCAGAGTGACGTGCAATATATCGCATCGATTCGTTCCATAATTTCAGCTACTTGTCATTTTATTCGAATTTCGAGATCGCACTTCTGTTGTCATGAGACTAAAGATTTCACGTAATAAATATGACAAAGAAATTCAACGTAAAAAAGGCGTGGTATTTTCAGAGGAAAAAAAATCGCATTCGAATGCAGTTTTGATATCAGGATCGAATGCTATAGGTATTTTTCCTCTAAAAAAAACCCTGCCTTTAATACGTTGAATTTCTTTGTCAAATTTGGTCCATGAATTCTTTAGTCTCGAGAAAACAGAAGCAAAACTCGAAAAAAATGACAAGTATCTGAAATTATGGAACGGATTGATGCGATATACCGCACGTCGCTCTGTCTTAAAAAATGGCAATCGTCGAATCACCTTAAACGCATTGGTGCAAATAACTGCATGCATATCGACGGTGAAATTACCGGACCACGTACCTCGGTTTGCGAAGTTGTAGAATTCCTGCCATTCTTTAATTTTTAAATAGGAAACTACTCAACGTCAACTATTGGAAACTTCCGTGATTTTTCTTCTCAGTGCGAAAAAATTATGTCAAAACTTCAAGGAATGATACTGAATTGTCTCCTCCAAAAAAATAGAGCGGAGATTTTTAGATACTTCAAACGAGATACGAGGTCCGGTAGTTTCACCATCAATATGCTATTTCTACTCCTTTAGGAGCATTTTTACAAAGTCGCAGACCATTGGTCATTGCCTACAACTAGATTGCAAAATTTCCCACCACAATTTGGTTTTTATTAGGCTATAAGTGTTCCCTCCACACTGGCTTAGGAGAGGAAGAAGAAGAAACATTTTGGTAATTTTCAGTGAAGTCACGAAAAAATTGAAAATATTTTTAATTAAATGTGTAATCATTCCTAGGGGAAAGAAAATCTAGTAATAATGAACCAGAAATGAAACAAATAAACTGTAGGTATTGTGAAATTTTGCTGCGTTGCAATACCGAGGCTTCCCATTGACCTTTAAACTCCTAAAATAAGCATACGCTAAGAGTGCGGAGCTGATCATTCAACGTTTAGCTGTATGCGTTTTTTAGCGCTGAACATTTTTCGTTCGGCTTTTGATATTCCAACTTCATTACAAACTCCCTTATAATTTATATAGTCCAAATATATTTAGTCAAGACCTACAATGACCATGATTACCTAAAATAGTGTTAGCTCAGCTATTCGTTTTTTCCTTCTTTTTCACGGCAAGAACCAAGCCACGTCAGCTATTGCTAAAATTTACTGCGCAATTACTTTTTTACATGAAAACGGTTACTCGGATTTTTGTGCAAATTTCAGTGAATTTTCCGTATAGTGTGAAGCAGATTCCTTAAAATTTTCAAAGGAATCCGCACAAACGTTCTCTTGTAAAAAATGAAATTGTCCAGTTAAATTTGGCAATAGCTGATGTGGCCCGGTTCCTTTCTGCTAAACGCGGTCCATATTATGACGTGCCCGTTCTCTTTCTCAGCATAAACAGCATAACTTTCTTGAGAGAAAATTTGTGTTCGGATGAGCCTCTTCTCTTTGTAATAAGACCTTTGTTTTAGACTGAATTTTGAGCGCACGTTGGAGAAATCACCAACATTCTACTCAGTTAGACTCCTATGATTAGGTTAGATTAAGTTTGGACCTCAAGTTCGTATGGAATCATAGAGTACATAAAGTCGTAATGCAAGTGGGTGAGCTGGCGCCACTTTTGAGCATTTTCCAGGTCCCGAATTCCGAGACTCCTGTGTGACGCCGGGTCACTTTTTCGATACATAATCGATTGTTTGCGATACACGGGTACCCGGCCATCCGATGTAAACAAAAAGGATAGGAATCACCACGTATTCCACACCGCCATTTTGGATCGAACATGTATCGAAAAAGTGACCCGCACTCGGCGCACACCGGGCTCGGAACTTGTCGAGCAGAACATGGCGCCAGCTCTCCCATTTACATTACGACTCTATGTACTCTATGCTTGGATGTTTGGAATCTGTCGGAGTTAGTTACAGATGCATGACGGATTAACTTAAGCGGGGTAGATTATTTATCCCCATTAGGATTTTTTTAGCCATGGATCTTAATCCAAGGTGAAAAGAAGTTGATAAGTACGTCACCGATGGGCACAAAAGCTGATTCTTCAGCCTGCCGGAACGGTATGCCGTCCGAACTTTCGGGGCTCCACTGCCGCCGCCTCCCCCGCCCCCGCCCGCGCCATGGCCCGCCGCAAAATCAAGCGACGTTTGAAGCAAGCGTTGTTTTTTAGAGGGTGCCAAGTACAATGACAATTAATCATTCCTTTCTTACCGGCTGCACCGAGGTCAAGTTGTGCATATGCAACCTCCAATTTCCCAACGGCTTTTTATAAACCATCGAGAATCATCATTTAATTTTCAATCTCAAATGATCTTTGGTCCTCCTTCTCCTCCGTTCCGGTTCTCCTCATCGCTAGAGGCAAGTCTTGAAAGTTGGAAGGGCTGTCTTTCCTTCATTTAAACATACTCTTGGTGAGGCAGCTTGCATTAAGGTAAGTGAACCCACGGTCGGACTGGCTCGCATCTGAGGGCGTGGAGCGCAGACCCTTGGCTGGTTAAAGGGGCGTAATGTGATATTTCCTGATGGGGCATCCCCTTCGTAAAGAGGGGTTCAAATTAAAGAACACAAAAAAAATAAAGCCACTAGACGCATATTTGCACCATTATTTCCATAAGAACCGTGTCAGTGCTGCGGTTTACACGAGCTCATGACGTGGGTCTAAAAATCCATCCTAAAAAAGAATCAGGCAAGAACCTGAAAAAAGAAGAAAGAACGAGTATCAACACAGCCGACGACAAGGAAGACGTGTTCGGGCCTCTTTTTTAACTTTTCTCCCGAATCTGAGCGACACCTCATTGGCAGCGTATAGCAGAGCATTGAGAACTCACGCTCCGCGTCATCGCGCCTTCAATTTTTCAGATGCAGCACGGACGTCCATCAAGTACGAATAGTTGTATCTCTGCGCCGTCGTTAACGCGCATCCTTTCCCTCGCTTTATTTCCATATTGTGTTTGTTTGCGTTTGTCTTATTCGTAATCGTGCTTCAAGCACTACGTGAATAACACAGCCAAAGGTAAGAGAGATGTGTTCGGGCCTCTTTTTTAACTTTTCTCCCGAATCTGAGCGACACCTCATTGGCAGCATATAGCAGAGCATTTAGAACTCATGCTCCGCGTCATCGCGCCTTCAATTTTTCAGATGCAGCACGGACGTCCATCAAGTACGAATAGTTGTATCTCTGCGCCGTCATTAATGCGCATCCTTTCACTCCCTCTATTTGCATGTTGTGTTTGCTTCCGTGTGGCTTATTTGTAATGTTGCTGTAAACTAGAGCAGAGCATTGCGAGTTCACGACTCACGCCATCCTGTCCAACATTTTTCATATGCAATGTGGACATCCATCTTGCGAGAATAGTTGTATCGCGTTTACACTTCAGATGTCTCTTACTTTTGAATTTCGAAATAAATTAAGGTTAAGTTTGCCCGAGATATGCTATGACATGTCCAAATTAATAGTCATTTTGAAAAGGAAGAAATATGTATTAAGGTGTCTCGAGAGGTCTATAAAGTGTGCGTATGTCTAAAAATCGAACCGGCTGTAGCTTCTCCGGGAGTCACATATAAAGAATGAAGGAGAGGGATGATAAAGCGCCTGTATGTCATCAAAAAGGTGACAATTTCACAGAAAAGTGTTTACGCTTCAGAAAGTAGTTCTTGGACTTCTGTTCACCACTATGCGTAAAAGCACCTCTCTTCACTCATAGCTCTCTCTTCTTCCGTTCATTTAAGAAATTTTCCGCATATATTCTCGGTCGTAATTTTTTTTCTCTTCTTATTCTTCCACTGCAGCTTGCATCAAATTTCAATTGACCGGATATCAAGACCGCGCATCATATCTGATAAAATCGGCCACCTTCGTCTTTGCCGATCATGGGAGGGTCGTAAGCAAGACTGTCTTGGTGGAGTCAACTGTTGGTCCAATTCCATCGGGGAGAAGAGAGGAAACTATTACCTATTGGCGGATCCAGCAAATTGGCAACACTGTATTTTCCACATTTAAACCTAGGGAAATGTATCGATTATTGAAGGGGACAGGTGCTTTGACAAGAATCGATTATTTAACACAGCTTTAATTAAAGAAAAGTCAGTTTTGCCAAATTGCTGGATCCGCCTCTGATTTGCCACAGGCGGATCCGAGGGGAGGACACAGAGGACATACGCCCCTCCCCCCTCCCCCTCCCCGTTCATCCGAAAATAAAGAGGGAGAAAAAGGGAAGAAACAAAGAAGGGGAGAACGGAGGAAAGAAACAGAAGGACGCTTATTTTTGACGAATTCATGGCGAAATTGACTCAAATTGCGTGTTAGATACTTTAGAATGTCGT